CCCCTAGCTCGCTGGGTAATACCCCCAACAAAGAGCAAAGGGAGATCGATACGGGCTCGAGAGACCAGGTGGAGAAGGCGGTGATGAATCCCGTCGGCTCGAACGGATCCTCTTCGGCTTCTCCTATTTCATCCCCTCGCTCCGCCGCCGTCGCCGCCTGGTAGTCGAGGGAGGGAAGGTCGGAGGTGACGAGGCAGAGAGGATTGTCTTGAGGTCAAACGTGGAAAAGATGGTGCGGTTGAAAATGACGCTCTTCCACCACGCGGCCGCACGATGTGCACTCGGTGATTGATCGGCCGGTCGACGTTGTTGAGCACCGACCGTGCGCCGATGAGCAGTATGGTAAAAATGAGTTGGCCATTAAAATAGATTAAATTTTATTTATTATTTTTTAATTGCCACATCACTAAGTTGACGGTCAACTTTGAGAGTTGATTGCCACATCAGCCAAAGTTAACGGAGTTGGACGGAGAGTGACCAAACGTGAACGATTTCAGTAAACTGAAGTACCATCAATGGATTTAAATATTTCGAGTGACCAAACTTAAACATTTTTTGTAATCTCAGTGACCAACCATGCAATTAACCCTAAAAAAACATAGTTAGCAAAACAAATTACGGGTGAGTTATGTATTTTACATATACGAGTATTTTACTTTGTCTTTAAGCTAACTATGCATATAATAATACGTTAAAGTATTACAATATATGAAATTAATTATACAAAAATTAAATAAATTTATAAATAATCAATTTAGTTCATTCGATACGAATATGAAATGACATGTTATACGAATTCTTTACTTGTTTAGCATAGAAGCCATTACATAAACATGATAAAATGAAACGGTTCCACAATAAAAGTGTATTGTTCTCCCACACACCAAAGAAAAGCTTACTGGTGGTCATTGTGATTATTAATTTATTATTACCACCTAGTTCAGAAGCTTTTGCACGCAAGCATTAACCGGCTCAGCAATTTGTCCTTCCTCATAATAATTATCAAGCTAAGTGGCGCACAATTGGCTTTCGCTAATTCCTTGGGGATAGACTTTGGAATTTGGGGTTGCTTTGGAATTATTCAGCTAGGAATTTGGTCTTTCCGTATAGGAGTATGGACTTAGTTTGTGGAATTTGGGAATTTTATTTAGTTGGGTGTTCGCTTTGTCGTTGGAATTTGGAAATTAGGTCGAAAAATTCAGCCGCCCTCACCTTGGAATTGCTTTTAGACTTGCTATTTATTTTCCAAAAGTTCTCGCTTTTCATCGATGAAAACAATTTTATATATTTTTGTACGAAAAAACCCGAACTATAAAAAAAGTGTTACTTATGTCTCGCATTATTTAATATAACATTTGTGTCATGAACTATTTTTTCAGTTAGTGTTGACGGAGTTTGACCATCAATATTTAACAAAAAAATTTATTAAGTGTCGACGTGGCATCTAATAAGAATTTTACATATTATTTTTTATTTATATTTTAATCTAAAATGATTAAAATAAGAAAAATAAAAAATAAAAAAAAATTACAAAAAATCCCCAAATCATCTTAATCGCTAAGTAGATTCCGCTTCTAATCAAACATCAAGTTTACCACCATCTGGTCAACCGTTATCTATAACGCTTAACGAAATCGTCAGGACATAAATGTCACAAACCTATCATATATTGGGATATAAATAGAATATTGAATAGTTTGGGACACAAATGACATTTTTTTGACAGTTTGGGGTTCCCAGTGATATTAACAAGAAAAAAAAAACAATCTGTTAAAACCGGGCTGCTCATTAGTACAATATTGTCCGCTTTGGGCCAAGCCCACACGGTTTTACTTTTGAGTGTCCTCCCCAAAAGGCCTCGTACTAATGAGTTTGGTGGACACTAATATACAAGCGGTCCTTCCCTTGTATTTCCGATGTGGTACTTGGATTGTCCCATAACAATTCTCCCCTCAGCGATTATCTTGATCCGCCAGATACCTTGCATCGATGGGCTTCTCGGTACAAGGATTTTCTCAGACGACGCGGACCTCCCTCGATCCGCCAAACCAGATGTAGCCCGAACGTGGATCTCTCGTGGATCCACCAAACCAGACGCAGATCGCAAATCCTGAGGTCACCGAATGAGGATCCACTGTGACGTCCACCGCCCTGAACCGAACCAGGCTCTGATACCATTTGTTATAATCGGGCTGCTCATTATTACGATATTGTCCGCTTTGAGTCAAGCCCGCACGGTTTTACTTTTGGGTGTCCTCCCCAAAAGGCCTCTTGATAATGAGTTTGGTGGACACTAATATACAAGGGCTCCTTTTCTTGTATTTCCGATGTGGTACTTGGATTGTCCCATAACACAATCATATATAGAAGAGTTATACGGTGAAGACAGCCAAGAAAAAAAATCGAATCCAATCAACTAAGGGTACAACGAAATAACTTTTCTAATCGCCACCAAATAAGCAACCCTATTACTATTTTTTAACAAATTGAACATTAAAATGGCCAAACTTACCATGAAGAGCCATAATTTCCTCGAGCAACATTCTTGTTCCGAGCAATCATCAACTGCCCTATCAGGATATTGTGGCGCACCACCTTCGCATTCCTCACAAAAATCACAACCATCGTCCTCCTAATCATATATCATTAAATCACATAGCGAAGAGTCAAAGTGTGTCGCTCTTAATTGCACTAGTAGACGAATGTTTAAAAGAATTGTAGTTAATCTTCCTAAAATGATGTCATCTCTAGTAGCCCTATATCCAACGCATTTTTCACTCATTTCTCGATTTGAAATGGCAATAGGTCATGACTTATTTTGATTATTGTTGAGGTTTAATGAAGTTATTAATATTTGAAGTTGAACTAAAATAAATTTAGCCTCCAAATTTATAACCCGAATGATATTCATCTAAAAAAACTAAACAATGAAATTTAAAATTCTAAAAGTCTAAAACGTAAAAGGCTAAAAGAAACATTAGCTTTGTTTCGTTGAAAAATTACTAGAACAACTAGTGGAAATAGGTATGGACACACAATACAAATTGATCGGTGATTGATTTGTCTAGTGTTGACGTTATTCCTTTCAACGGCTACTACGGAGAGAGCCTTTTCAACAATGGAACATGTGAAAATTGATTTGTGCAACAAAATTGGCGATGAATTTTTCGCCGATTGCTTAACTATTTTATTTGAAAAAGAGTATGCTATTGGTATGGATGTATACTCCATTATTGATGAATTCACTAAATTAAAAGACCTTTGTAGACAATTAACATTGTAAAAAAAAACTAAATTTATTACATTATGATCTCTACTTTTCTAATAAAATATGAACCAGTTCTCTATTATGTTATGGATCCGTCGCTACACCTAAACATCACTTAGACATCGCCTAGTCGCTAGACAATGGCCCAACTCGTTCTTAGACCTTGGCTAGTCTAGTAGTCTACAACTAGTCAACTATCACATATCATACATATTCAGCAAAATCCAACCCCCAACCGTACGAGACCCATACAATATGTAGCACTATCCACCGGCACCCGCACCACCCACCATATCCTTCAAGCCGTGGCAAACAATTGTGTGGTTAGGGTGAAAGGTATTGGTGTCATGGATGGAAATAAAAGCAAGTTATTTTCACATTGCTGGTTACACGTGGCATGCATGTTGCAATGTTACTTGGAATTTAGGGACTTGCCTTAGGATCGATCTAGTTACATTTGACAATTGAGCTTACAATCTCGTAATATTTGACAATTATATGTGTCTATTTGGATTAGGATTTAGTTGTATTTGGATAACTTAACTTCATTTGCTATTTAATATCATCTCTTTATAATTATATTCCAGATAGTAACATTTGTAATATCTCAATAATTTTCTAGTAAAGATTTTGTTCGCTTTGAACCTACTCTTACACGCTGATACTTTGGGGGTGCATCATGGTTACTAATCAAGAGGTCATCCATCTCCGCACTGCTCTGCACCGAGTATCTTTAAATTGTCAAGTTCAAAGATCACTCATCTCTACACTGCTCCATTCTCAGAATGTTTACCTTCTAAGTCATTACGGAAAACTCATTTATTTCACCTGAAAATGCTTCTTGTCAATTAAGATTAAATTATTCTGTATGATTCATATATCTCTCATTTGCTTTGTCAGTATGAGATTTAAGGACGTCTAATGAACCGTGGAAGTCCTGTCTTAGAATTGAGATGTGGTCCAAATTGATTTTTAAGTATAATAAAATGTAAATGATCATAGCATCGTTATTTACAACGTAGTATCTTTCTAGCATTTTTTAAAATAAAACTATCTATATATACATGAGAAGATTGACTATAACTAGCACTAATATGTATTGATAAATTAAATACATCATCATAATATTCATAGGCCCTATGAATATGATGATTAAGGGCCTCCCAACACACCCTCTCTTGGCCGCACCTAATGAGATTTTCCTAATGAATTATAACATTCGACTAACAACATATTTAAAAAAACTGTAATATTATTGCACTCGATGACACTGATTAACAAAAAATCATTTTGTTTTGGAAGGAAATCAGTATATGTCACACTCAGTGATCAATTCACACAAGTAACGTCCATTTTTCTTTCCACGAGGAAGCGAAGTGCCCATGTATTACAAACTTTTCGATAATCCATCTTATTGATTCGGTCGATTTCCAATATTTATTTTTTTATACAAAATAAAAATCGACATTAATGGAATTGACACATTGATATATACTTTGAGTCTTTGATACTTAAAAATTGCTATAATATTCTATTATTTTACAATAGCACAAATCGTCAATTACTTTCTTTTGTACCATCATGCATGATAAAACAAAGTCTTCACTACCGTGTTAAAGGGTATGAAATAATGGACTAGAAATAAACTCTAGTCCAACAAAAATCTAAATAGCCATTTGCTTGGGCTATAAATACCATCCCAGAAGAGCCCGCTTCTTTCTCATTTCCCTCTCCCTGTCCCAACATTATATAGCTAGAGAATAGAGACGTAAATTCCATATGAATCATTTACTTGCTTTGCCCAAATATCCCCCCAAAGCCACAATGAGCAGCAGCAATATGGCTGATGATGAAAATCGTCCCACAGCGGATTTCCATCCCTCGCCATGGGGAGACTTCTTCGCCACCCACAACTTCGCAAGTGATCATGTATGTACTCTATTTATCTAGAGATCGTTTCGCCAACATGTATGCATGGTAGAATCTGGTATGAATTTTTTTTTTTTTTTTTAAAGAAGTATGCCCATTGTGGCTAGTGATTTCAACTAAAAAATCACAAATAGAGTGAATAAAATTTTATTACCTAAAGAATTAATTAGCTTATTTGTGCTAAACTAGCCAGCTTATAACTCTTACATTTTCCCACTACGGCATGCAGGTGTTGAAGGAGTGGAAGGAAGGAATTGAAGTGCTGAAACCTTATGTAGTGAGGATGTTGTCAGCCACTGCTGGTGAAGACGCAGCAGACAAATTTGCGTTGTTAGAAAGGCTGAAACTAGTCGACGTGGTTGAGCGGCTAGGCATTGGTTACCTTTTCGAGGGAGAAATGCAACAAATCCTCCAACAAGTGTATGAAACACACGACTCAACTGATGACCTAAACAATGATAATATGAACCTCCATGATGTTGCCCTTCGTTTCAGGCTTCTCAGAGAACATGGCTATGATGTCTCCAGTGGTAATTAACTAACTCAATATTATTTTTTTATAAGGGTGATATACGCTCCTTTTTGTTATTAAGTAGTACTACTTAAAAAATTTGAATATGTGACCTTCATGTTTAAGGCATTACCACTAGATCAATCAATATTTGCTCTTGTTAGCTTGCGCCTCTTGCAATCATTTAGAATATTGGTTATTCATGAGAATGCACTTTTTTATACAAGAACATGATTAATTTTGGACCTCACAAAATTTGGGGTCTAAGCTCACAAGAATAGTGAACTAGTAGTTTAAGTTTTTTTTACAAGTCGAACCTGGAGACTCTGGGTTGAAAACCAATGATACGATCACTCGATCACAATGTCATTCGTACTAGTAGGTTTAGTTTTGATTGATTTATATAATTTACATGGGGCTCCAAAATTTCAAGGCCAACATTTAATTTCTGATACCGTACCTCTGAAATTCCAGGGCCTACCCAGCATGCAATAGCAGGTCGGAGGCACAAAAACTATAATTCTAAGCGTTTTGTAGAGAATGTCTAGCTACAGCGAAGTGCTAGAAAACGCTTTGGGTTGAAGCATTTTATGTAAAACACTAGCCTTATGGGTGTTTTGTGCAAAAGTTTCTTTTTTTGAAGCGTTTAAAGCGCTCAGCTAAGCAACACTTCATGTAAAACGCTTTTTGCTCTAAGAGTTTTTAGCAAAAAAAAAAAAAAAAAACACTTTTCCTTGCAGTGTTTTGCTGGGAAAATTTCATGATTTTTTTATTGTATATTCACAGACATATTCAATGAGTTCAAGACAGAGAAAGGCGAGTTCAAGGAAGAATTGGCGAGCGATGTTGAAGGCATACTAAGTTTGTATGAAGCCTCATATTTGCGGAAGCAAGGAGAGAGCGTATTAGACGAAGCAATCCACTTCACGAAATCACACCTAGAAGCTAAGGTTGTTGATGTGGAGTCCCTTTTGAGTGAGAGATTGGCTCATGCCTTAGAAAGACCTTTGCGCAAAGGCATGGAAATACTCGAGCATCTCTTTTTCATCTCGATTTACGAACGAATGTCGGGTCACCATGCAACGCTGCTGAGGCTAGCCAAATTGAGCTTCAACGTTCTGCAATACATGTACCAAGGCGAGCTAAGAGCTCTCACTGAGTAAGTAACTTGACTCAAAGTATAAGCAGGTTTGAAAGAAAGTATGATTAGTGATATGATGAGATCGAGTGAATAAATAAGCCATGTGTGTGAAAATTGGTGGAGCTAAGTGGAGGATTGTGGAATCACAGACCCCACTTGAAAAATGAATACATATGAAATATGTAGAACTTTTCAAGATGAAATCATCAGATTTTGAACCATATCGACCCCTCTTTCTAAATCAATAGTTTTATCATTAGGATACAAATTGCATTTGATTATATTTGGATCCCAGTAAACTATATTCCTGGTTACACCAATTCGTATGAATATAAGTTAAATTTTGTTATTGATTGATTAGACTAGGTGGAAAATTCGCTAAACATGATTTTCATGATATATTAACAAAAGATTATGATTCCTATTTTACTTTGTGAACTGCAAGAATAATTTTTACTTCATTTTTAAAGGTACTGGATAGATTTGGATTTCGCTAGGAGGCTTCACTATGGGAGAGATAAGCTAGTGGAGGCTTACATATGGGGAGTTGGAAGTTTGTGGGAGCCAAAATTTGCATTGGCTAGAACAAGCATTACCAAAATTGCCGCACTTGGAACATTTCTGGACGACACAACCGCCATTGAAAGGTGTATATTTACTTTGTCATGTGATAGCTAGTCTCATGATCAATACGATGGTCAAGGTTGATTAATTGACACAAATTTCTTGATGGAGAATAGGTGGGATCCAGGCATGGAAAAATTGAATGCAAAAATGAGATTCCTTTTCGAGGCGATTGCTGCTTTCTACGATGAAATTGACACAATCACTTCAAAAGAAGGACGACCATATTGTTCAGAATATGGGAAAATGGCGGTAACATTGCACCTAACTTCTCCCATTCTAGCACCCTACTAATTAATGCTAATGCATCCATGTTTGGAGTTTGCAGCTTAGATATGTTGTGAGGTTATACCTGACAGAAGTGAGAGGCCGTGGGAAAGCCAAACTACAAACCTTTGAGGAATATCGGAAAGTTTCTTCGCAAAGCACTTGTTACGTTTGGATGGTATGTGCGGCACTCTTCGGATACGGTGAGCTGGCTCCAAAAAATGTTTTCGATTGGCTGTTCACAGAACCCAAAATTTTACTAGCTTCCTCGGATCATTGTCGTCTTATGGATGACATCGTAACCCACCAGGTAAAAGAATGCTATGTTTTCATACCTCTTTAATATTAGTTAGCATGCTCACTTCTATGCAACAACCATAGAGAGAAACAAATACTAAATGAATGGTATTCATTTTTCATGAATGTATATGTTGCAGTTTGAGCGAGAGAGGGGACACATCGCTTCATCAGTAGAATGTTACATGATGCAATATGGTGTGTCGAGAGAGGAAGCCGTGAATGCGTTGAAGGAAATGGTGGAGGAGGACTGGAAGATCGTAAACCAGGAATTGCTTCATCCATCACCCTGTAATATCACTCATGTGGTACCTCACAAGGAAGTTCTTTCAATGTTTCTCGGCTTTGAAAAAGTGATGGACGTTCTCTACAAATACTCGGATGCCTACACAAACTCTACCGATGGCACCAAGGATATGCTCACTGCTTTGCTTGTCACTCCCCTTCCTATTTCATCATAGGAACCGAATTGTCCTTTTTACATAACTGTATGTGTGTGTGTGATCATCTTGTGAGTTTGTATGGTTTCATTGCTCTCAAGCTAGCTTGTTTTCAAGGGACCCAACTGCTGATTCATATGCTAGCCTATTATGTATCTTTTTTAAGCTTGGTTATCTACGCAAACAATAATTGCTTGCCACTACAACAAAAGTTGCATTTTGTGACCATTTTCCATGCAACCAAATTTCTTTTGGTAGGCAAAGACCCAATATTTGGGGCCAATTACACTTTGGCAATACAAAGTGTGATGAATTGGTTACTAACGAAAAAATTTATTTTATATAACCAAATTAAAATTTATATGGCCAAATAAATTTGGTCACAAAATACTAAAATGTTTTTCTAAACAAATATAGTGTTCATCATCCTTAGTGCTTTATAAAGTAACTAATATTTTTGGTCACATATACATACTAAAATATTCACTTAATAAAGAATCATTTTTACCACCAATTAAATTAAACTCTAAATGACGAATTTTTTTGGTAATAAGTATTTTTATCTGGCCAAATTTATTGGTTATAATCAAATGTAATTTTCAAAGTTGTATTTTGGGTCATATAAACATACTATGATCTACTTCCATTAAAAAAATACTATGATCTACGTACTTGAAAAATCTTTCAAACAAAATTAAGATTTAAATGACCAAAAAATGGTAATTATTGGTCCAATTTGCTCTTTTAAGTTTTATGAATTACGATTTACGGCAGAAAGAGAAGTGAAGCAGAGGGGTTAGCATCTCGCTCCCCACTCAAAACTCTCCCAAAGAATTATGACTTGTCTCTCCAAGCCAGATTTGAAATCGACAGAGAGGATCGAAATCGAGGAAGGTAATTCTCTACGAATTGAAGAACTTAGGGTTTTATATGGGAAATGAGGTTTTGATGATGATATTTGCAAATCTCTTTTCAAATCATCCAGGAATATACATAAAGTTAAGATTCTTCTTGTTTGGTGTTCAGAATATGGTACTCATATTTGTGTTCCTTTCTTCTGGCCGGTTTACTTCCAACTTTATAAAAGAGTACATATTCTCCTCTCCTGGGGATACTTTGGTCATTACCTACGATAATAATACTACCATAGTTGTGTTGGACAAAGCATCCTTTTGCATATCAGGGGAGGCAATGTGAAGAAGGCTGGAGTTGCTGGAGTCTTTGCTGAGTTTGGCGCCAAAGTCAGAGTTTAAGTTCGTTGAGTCTTAGTCCAAGTAAAACTGTGTCGTTTGGATTATTCCAGTTTAGTGCTTAGTTTTTTGAGTTTGAGTAATTGAGTCAGTGACCGTTGTCAAAACAGCTTAAGTTAGTTTACAGCTGTTGGTTAGCTTTGTTGCAGATATGCAGGAGAGTGGGGCTTGGGGTTCGTTATTCAAGGCCGAATCCTTTGGCCTGGGTTTGTATTTATACTTTCGATTCATCAATAAAGAAGGTGTCAGATTGCAATACATTTTGGCTTTCATTGTGGTATCAGAGCCAGTGCAAGCTGTAACCAAGAAAACCTAAGAGAGTGAAATCAGCATACAAGCAAAGAGGGTTGCTTGTAAAGGGAAACACGAGTGTTTTGTGAGGAATCTTGATCTGGGGTTGAGCACTGCTATTTGTGCTAAGAGCGATTTCTGTGAGATCTGAAAGATGAGTGATAACAACAGCTTTGCACAGGTGTGCATTCCGAAGTTCGATGGCGATTTTGAACACTGGAGTTTGCTGATGGAGAATCTCCTTCGATCTAAGGAGTAATGGCATGTTGTGAGTGAAGGGTTCAAGGAACCAGATGAAGGTGAAAGGCTCTCAGAAGTAGAGCAGAAATCCCTAGACGACTTGAAGCTGAGAGACCTGAAGGCCAAAAACTACATTTTCAGTTCGATTGATAAGGTAATTCTTAAAACCATTACAAAGAAGAACACAGCAAAAGAGCTTTGGGATTCCATGAAGTTGAAATTCCAGGGTAGTGCTCGAGTCCAAAAGGCTCAGCTTCAGGCTCTTAGGAGAAGCTATGAACTGTTAGAAATGAAAGAAGGAGAGACCATTACAGAATATTTTGGTCGAGTCATGGTTGTTACCAATTCCATGAGAAGCTGTGGAGAGAATCTGACTGATGTGCAGATTGTGGAAAAAATCTTAAGAACTTTGACTGAAAAGTTCAACTATGTGGTATGTTCAATTGAAGAGTCTAAGGATATTGAGATGTTAACAGTGGATGCCTTGCAAAGTTCACTGGTTATTCATGAACAAAAGTTTCACAAGAGAGGTACAACTGAAGATGATCAAGCTCTTCGAACCACCCATGAGTTTGGTGGCAGGGGAGCTAGAGGTTTTGGCAGAGGAAGCTTCACAGGCTCTCATGGACGTGGAAGAGGAAGGGGAGGAAGAGGCTGGAATAAAGAAGCTGTGGAATGCTTCAAGTGCCATAAGCTTGGACATTTCAGAGCTGAATGTCCTGAGTGGTACTCAAACCAGCAGGCTCATTACTCCAGCTATCATCCTGCACAGGATAAATCCCATGGAGACCTGAAAGAAGACGTTTTGTTAATGGCCTGTGCTGATCAAGAAGGAACTGAGGCATTGCAGGAGACAGCAAATCTGATGGGAGCTGTTGAAGACACTCATGATGACAAAGTAGAGAGCAGAACATGGTGGTTTCTTGATTCAGGCTGCAGCAACCACATGACTGGGGACAAGAATTGGTTCACCTCTATTGACACTACTTTCAGGTGCATTGTGAGACTTGGGAACAACTCAAGGTTGGAAGCTGTTGGCAAAGGGTCCATGAAGCTGATGATCAATCAAGTGTCTCTCATAATTAAGTAAGTTTTCTATGTACCAAGTTTGAAGACCAGCTTACTGAGTGTTGGACAGCTACAAGAGAAGGGAATCTCCTTCCTCATCAAAGATGGCCACTGCAAACTGTTCCGTGAAGATAAGGGCTTGCTGCTGCAAACTCAAATGAAAGCTAACAGGATGTTTGCTCTCCATGCTGATTGGGTAGAAGGACAGGGTCATCAGTGCCTGCAAACAGACAGCAGCAAAGAAAGCTCCCTCACTCTTTGGCACAGGAGGTTTGGCCACCTGAGCTATCAAAATCTGTTGCTCTTGAAGAAGAAAATTTTGGTAGCTGACTTGCCAGAACTGAAAGGAGAAGGTGGAGTCTGTCAAACCTGTCTAGTGGGCAAACAACACAGGCATCCATTCCCAAAGAAGAGCACCTGGAGAGCATCACAGAAGCTCCAATTAATCCATGCTGATATGTGTGGCCCAATAACTCCAGCATCTAATGGAGGAAAGAGGTATATTCTGACCATAACTGATGACTTCAGCAGGAAACTTTGGGTTTTCTTTATGAATGCTAAGTCAGAAACACTACGGGTGTTCAAGAAGTTCAAAGCACAGGTTGAGAAAGAAACTGGACTCCCCATTGTGTGCTTAAGAACTGACAGAGGGGGGGGGGGGGGGAGTTTATGCTAAACGAGTTCAAAGAACTCTGTGAAGAAGAAGGAATAAGAAGGCAACTGACTGCAGCCCTCACCCCACAACAGAATGGGGTGGCAGAGAGGAAGAACCGCACCATAATGAACATGGTCAGGTGTGTTTTGGAAGAAAACAAAGTTCCTGTTTTGTTTTGGCCTGAGGCTGTAGCTTGGACAACTCATGTCACAAACAGAAGTCCTACCACAGCTAACCAGGGTAAGACACCTCAGAGCTTTGGACTGGGAATCCTCCCTCAGTCTCTCATTTCAAAGTTTTTGGTTGTGTCTCCTATGTGCATGTTCCAGATCAACAACGAAGGAAACTAGACAGCAAAAGTACCAAATGTTACTTCATTGGTATCTCTGTGGAGTCGAAAGCCTACAAGTTATACAATCCAGTCACCAAGAAAGTAGTAGTCAGTCGAGATGTAGTGTTTGATGAGCAAGCAGGATGGAGTTGGGACTCAGAAGATCAACCTGCACTTACCACAATAGTATGGGAAGGCAGTGAAGATGACTGGATAGACTCAGACACAAAAGAGGAAACAATGGATTCATCTGCAGGAGAGAATTCAAGAGAATCAGATGAATCAGAAGATTCCACTCCACCTACACCAGATCCACATCAAGTTGAAAGTGAAGAGGAGGATCATTCTGCCTCACCTACAGATGTGCTGGGATTGCCGAGTACAAGTCTGGGACCAAGAATCAGAAAACCACCTGCTCACCTTGATATCTATGACTGCAATCTTATGGATGCAGAGTGGTGGGCCATGACTGCAGTTGCAGATGATCCTACCTCGTTTGAAGAAGCTGCTGCAGATCCTAGGTGGAATGAACCAATGAGGCAGGAGATGGATTCCATCGAGAAGAATCAGACCTGGACACTTACTGAATGTCCACCAGGAGTTACTCCCATTGGACTGAAGTGGGTATACAAGTCAAAACAGAAAGAAGATGGCTCTTTAGACAAACGCAAAGCAAGACTGGTAGCAAAAGGATACTCTCAGAGACATGGAATCGACTATACTGAGGTATTTTCTCCTATTTCTAGGTGGGATACCATTAGAGCACTTCTAGCTTATGCTGCATTCCATGGTTTTGAAGTGCACCAGTTAGATGTTAAGTCTGCTTTTCTGTATGGTGAACTGTCTGAGGAGGTTTATGTAGAGCAACCACCAGGGTTTGTGGTTGCTGGGGAGGAATCAAAGGTGTACAGGTTAAATAAAGCCTTGTATGGATTGAAGCAAGCCCCTCGAGCTTGGTACAGCAGAATTGAGACCTATTTTTTGCAGAATGGGTTTGAGAGAAGCTCATATGAACACACACTGTTCATAAAGAAGGTTGGGGCTGATGTCTTGATAGTAAGCATCTATGTAGATGATTTAATGTGCACCAGCAGTAGTTCTAAGCTCATTCAGGAGTTCAAGATCTCTATGCAAACCGAATTTGAAATGACAGACTTGGGGAAAATGAGGTATTTTCTTGGTGTAGAAGTAATCCAAGGTGATGCTGGAATCTTCATCTGTCAACAGAAATATGCCAAAGAACTTCTGGAAAGGTTTAATCTATCAAGCTGCAACCATGTTAACAATCCAATCGGGTCAGGAATCAAGCTTTCTAGAGCAGGAGATGGAGTGCCAGCAGATGCCACTGAATACAAGAAACTAATTGGTAGTCTTCTGTATATAACTGCCACCAGACCTGATCTAATGTATTCTATGTGTTTACTTAGCAGATTCATGGAATCTCCTACGAGGCAACACATGTTGGCAGCTAAGAGGATTTTGAGATATGTGAAAGGCAGTCTGGGGCATGGCATTTGGTACAGAAAGGGAGGAGAAGGAGGAGAAGGAGGAGAGTTGATTGGCTACACTAACAGTGACTATGCAGGTGATGTGGATGATCGGAAAAGCACAAGTGGCTATGCTTTCTTTCTTGCAGGAGGAGTGGTCTCATGGGCATCAAAGAAACAGCCTGTGGTTACTCTCTCAACCACTGAGGCAGAGTTTGTGGCAGCCTCGTTTAGTGCAGCTCAGTGTGTTTGGTTAAGAAGAATTCTGGAACAGTTTGGTTGGAGTAGTAGTGTGAATGCTGCAACAAGAATTTTTTGTGATAATAGCTCAGCTATAAAGATATCCAAGAATCCTGTCTTACACGGCAGGAGCAAGCATATTGATGTGCGTTTCCATTTCTTGAGAGAGCTGGCCAACAATGGTGTGGTAACGATGGAGCATTGTAGGAATTATGAACAAATTGCTGATGTGATGACTAAGGCCCTAAAATTGGAGACTTTTCAGCTGTTACGGGCCAAGCTTGGAGTGGTTGATCGTACTGAGTTTGAAGCAGGAGTATGAACTGAAGCCAAGCAGTCTGGCTCAAGTTCAGGGGAGGCTTTGTTGGACAAAGCATCCTTTTGCAGATCAGGGGAGGCAATGTGAAGAAGGCTGGAGTTGCTGGAGTCTTTGCTGAGTTTGGCGCCAAAGTCAGAGTTTAAGTTTGTTGAGTCTTAGTCCAAATAAAACTGTGTCGTTTGGATTATTCCAGTTTAGTGCTTAGTTTTTTGAGTTTGAGTAATTGAGTCAGTGACCGTTGTCAAAACAGCTTAAGCTAGTTTACAGCTGTTGGTTAGCTTTGTTGCAGATATGCAGGAGAGTGGGGTTTGGGGTTTGTTATTCAAGGCCGATTCCTTTGGCCTGGGTTTGTATTTATACTTTCGATTCATCAATAAAGAAGGTGTCAGATTGCAATACATTTTGGCTTTCAAGTTGCTGCATCAAGGCTCTGGTATTTTGCTTTGTAATTCTCATTATGCTTACTGTCATATCAATGTTCTGTGTACGCTTCTGTTAGTAAATGGTATATTATCCACGATTGAATCTCTCACAATAGCTCGAGTTATTGAGATCAACTGGTTCTTGACATGGTATCAGAGCCTTCTGTGACCAAGAGGTTTTGTGTTCGAATCTCGGTGACCGCCATCTGTTTCTGTTAAGCACATGGTGTCCGGACCTGTGTATGTGCAAACTCCAAGCCTATTTGAGTGGCTTGGGTATGAGGGGGTGTCTTAGTAAACGGTATATGATCCACGATTGAACCTCTCCCAACAACTCGAGTTATTGGTACTAACTGGTTCTTAACAACTTCTTTACCAGAAACTGAATCCTTCAAGTGTTAGACTTCCTAATTGGCTTAATTGCAAGTTTGGTCACTCGAATTGCTACAAAATTTCATGTTTGGTCACTTGAATTGATTTATTCCATTCGTAGTCACTTAAATTAGTTTAACAGTCCAACTTTGGTCACTCTCCGTTAACCTCCGTCAAACTCCGTTAGTACCGTCAGTTAACTGCTGACGTGGCTAACAGAGGAGCTTAGTCATCCTATTTTAACCAAAAAAATATAAAAAAAATATGCCACATCATTAACCCCTTAATATTTTAAAAGTCCACCCAAACCCAATCAACCCCTGACCCGAGCCGAACCCCTGAACCGACCCATTCACCTGTTCCCCCTCTCCTTCCCCCCTCTTCTTCCCCAGCTCCGACCCCATTCAATCTCCCAAACCCTATTATTGACGACGGCGCCTTGGTGATTAGAGACCAAATTAAGAATGCTCACCGTCCTGAACTCATCAAAATTCACCTTCCCGTCGGCATTGACTCTCCGGATCATCTCCTTGCAGGCTTCCATCCGCTTCCCTTCCTTCAATCCCAGCGACGACAGCACCGACCCCAGCTCCTCCATCGTGATCATCCCGTCCCGATCCCTGTCGAACACCTCGAACGCATCTCTCAATTCATCTCCTCTGACGCCACCGCTGTCAATTTTGATTTCCTCTGCCTCCAGATCTGACGCCCTCGCCTCTCCCTCTCCGCCAGCGGCCATGTTTCTACACAGGATTTTGAACTCCTCGAAGTCAATCTGCCCGTCGCCGTTGGAATCCACCTTCATCACCATCTCCTCCACCTCCGCCTCGGTCACGGAGATCCGGATGTTCTTCAGCGACTCTTCCTCCAGCGAGATTGAATGGGGAAGAAGAGGGGGGAGTCGGAGCTAGGGTCGGAGCTGTTAAATGGCCGACAAACTGAGGAACGACAACAGCAAGATCTTCTCCTCCTGCTCTTCCTCCGGCGAGTCGAGACGGCTCCAACGGCGGAGGCCGGCGTCCTTGCAAATAAGTCCGGCATCTTCCACCTTCTGGAGCACCGCCATCCCTCTTCTCTCCCCTCTTGACGCCTCTCCGACCGTCGTCGATCGAAAATCGGAGATGTCGGCTCATCAGAATCAGAGTCAGAGGGGCGGCGGGGAGGCGGAGAAGAAGGAGGCAATCGTGTTCAAGAAATGGCAGCACCCTGCGGCGCCCTTCTGTTACAAGCCGACCAAGTTGATGTCGTCGTTCTTCGTCCCCGTAGAGCCTTGTTAGAGATGGAGATTTATATACGAGTTGGGGATTTACAAATTCTTAGAGTTTTCAGATCCGGAGTTGAACTGGGTCGAGCGCGGCGAAGGTTCGGGAGGCGGTGGCGTTGGCTTGGTGGGTTTTCAGGGTGCGCCACAGCTTCTTGGCCATCTCGTTGGAGCCGCAGCTCTGGTTGAGGTTGCCGCGGAGCTCTGGTTGGGGTCGGAGCTGGGAAGAAGAAGGGGGAAGGAGAGGGGGAACAGGTGGGGCTAAGATCAGGTGACTAAGGGGGGGTCCCTTAGTCACATGACTAAGTAAATCTCAACCATTGCACCTCATTAAAATCCAATGGCTACAATTAATCTAATTTAATGAAGGGCAAAACAGTAATTACATGATTATTTTTATTTTTATTTATTAAATATTTTTGTCCTCCGATTATTCCCTCCCCGCCGTGCGTCTCGTCCCTTCTTTTCCCCGCCGGGCAGCCGGTCGTCGATCGCAATTCACCTGGGCGTCTCGTCTCTTCTTTTCCCCGCCCGGCAGCCGACGACGCAATTCGCCTGGGCCTGGGAACTTTTTCCCCTTGCGTGCACAGAGAGAGAGGCCAGAGTTGGTTTTGGTTTCTTTTGTGGGAATCCAATTATCCCACGTTAGAGAGAGAGAGAGAGATTTTTTGGCCGGAAAATTTTTCCGGCAAACACCGTCGCCGGAGAAAAAATTCCCGGCGACAGTGCTGATTTTGTGATGTTTGTTGACATATTTTGTAATGTTTGTATGCTTTGTTATTTTGTAATGTTTGTCGTTTTTTTTTTTGTAATGTTTGTAAACTTTGTTATTTTTGTGCACCATGTTTGTAAACTTTGTCATTTTTGTGAACCATGTTCGTAATGTTTTTTATGTCTAAAAAACACCCGGGTTGACTTTGGGAAGGAGCCCCTCTATATAGGGATGGACCCTCCAAAGTCAACCCGGGTGTTTTTTCCCGTTCGTATGGATTGTCGGTCTAGTTTGTCATTTTTGTCCACCATGTTCGTACTGTTTGTATGTCTAAAAAACACCCAGGTTGACTTTGGGAAGGACCCCCTCTATATAGGGATGGAGCCTCAAAAATCAACCCGGTTGTTTTTTCTTTTTGTATGGTTTGTATTGTTTGTCGGTCTAGTTTGTATTATTTGTACAGTTCATACGTTTGTAATGTTTGTAAATCTGTTTGTATGTTTTGTCGCTCTAGTTTATACTGTTCGTATGTTTGTATGGTTTGTACTGATTGTAAATCCGGTTTGTATACTTCGTAATTTTCCATAATACCCAAACTACCCCTGTTATTAATTAAATAGTCCTTCCCACTTTTTAACCATTGGATTGAAGTGTCCAGATCTAAGGGCTAGGAGGGGCTTAGTCAAGTGACTAAGCACCCCCCCTTAGTCACCAGATCCGCACTCGGAACAGGTGAATGGGTCGGTTCAAAGGTTCGGCTCGGGTCAGGGGTTGGTTGGGTTTGGGTGAACTTTTAAAATATTAAGGGGTTAATGATGTGGCATATTTTTTTTGGTTAAAATAAGATGACTAAGCACCTCTGTTAGCCACGTCAGCAGTTAACTGACGGTACTAACGGAGTTTGACAGAGGTTAATGGAGAGTGACCAAAGTTGGACTGTTAAACTAATTTAAGTGACTACGAATGGAATAAATCAATTCGAGTGACCAAACATGAAATTTTGTAGCAATTCGAGTGACCAAACTTGCAATTAAGCCAATTAGGAAGTCTAACACTTGAAGGATTCAGTTTCTGGTAAAGAAGTTGTTAAGAACCAGTTAGTACCAATAACTCGAGTTGTTGTCATCACCATCATCTCTGGTTTTAGTTATTGATATGGATGAGCCTCCTCTCCAAATTTCTCAACCATGCCTCTCCAATAAGATTGTCCACCTTGCATGCCGTCATGAGCCACCCAACAATCGTGCTGCCGATTCTGAGAGCTGTAATCTATATTGGAGTTGACTTATCCCCAAATATCTTGTTGTTCATCTCTTTCCATATACACCTGTTTACACCTAAAATATTTTTGGCCTAAATTCAATGCCGTAATAATGAGTCTCGGCATTTAATTTGATGCCGCATGATATAAAACTGCATCGTTGCGAGACAAGCGGCATCGCGAGACTGCAAAAACGGTACCGCAAGGAAGCTCTGCGGTACCGCGGCATGGGAAACGACACCGCTTAATGAAAATAAAAGAGGGCTGCGCGCGTGGTGTTTGGAGAAGGAGTTTTATTTTATAATTATTGTTTTTCCTTGTCAGAAAGAGAGAAGCGGTACCGCATGGAGACAAGCGGCACCGAGGAGAGTTAAAGCGGTACCGCAAGGAGGCTCAGCGGAACCGCAGCACTGAAAACGACACCGTTTACCTGGAAGTAAGAGGTGGGCCGCGCGTTTTAGTGTAGGTGTCGGGGAAGGAGTTTTTGCTTATAATTAATTAGTATTTTTATTCCTTGATGGAAAGGGAAAATCGGTACCGCATGGAGATAAGCGGTACCGCGGAGAGTTAAAACGGTACCGCGGATTTAAAAACGGTGCCGCGAGAGCCTGGTAAGCGGTACCGATTAATTAAAAATCATATCGGGCAAGTGACCAAAATTCACCCAGGCCAATGCGAGCGCCGACTGCGGCGGTTCCATGGATTAATATTTTTTGGCTATATCGGCGGTGTCGTTTAATTCAAAACGGTACCGCGAGTAAGCCCAACGGTACCGCTGTTTTAGCAAACGACAGTGTTTAATATAAAACAATGTCGTGGAGTAAAAAACGACATCGCGTGAGATTCACACCAACCCGAGCGGTGAGGAGATCAAGACGGTTGAGACACGTGGGAGTTCACAACGGAGCAGTTGAGGAAGCGGTTCCACCGAGCGTGAAGACTACGAAGCGGTTTTTCAAATAAAAGCAGTGGAGCAAGGAGAGAGAAGGGACAACCAAATCAACACAGAAACACATCTGTCAAACTTTACCTTTTTTCTCTGTAACTCCTTTGCGGAGCTCTCCTTCCAGGAAGGATCTCCATAGTTGTAGTCTTAGTCGTAGTCGCGGAGCTCTCCACAGGAATCTCCATAGGAGTAGCGGTAGCGTAGATTCCTCAAAACTCAAACACCCTCGTTCGAACGTAGTTTGGAGAGGTGTGAACCGTAGTCACAGTCGTCTTGATTAGAAGTCAGTGGCGCATCAATTCGATCAAATCAACATCGTCGTTTGGCACGCCGGCGGTGGTATTTGGTCAGAAGATAGTGGTGCATCCGTTCAATCGGCACCGCAAGAGTTTCCACCGTGAAATATCAAATCAACATCGCCGGGAACGAATTCGGCACCGGCAGTGGCATTTGATTTTTCCGAGGAAACAATTTGTTGACACCTAAAATTAATTTGGCCGGGATTAAATGCCGCATTAATTAGTCTCGGCATGTAATTCGATATCGTGGGGTAAAAAACGGTATCGTTTGGAGTTAAAACGGTACCGCAAGGGAACTCACCGGTACCGCAAGGGAACTCACCGGTACCGCAAGGAGGCCGAACCGGTACCGCAACACCGGAAACGACACCGCAGGCCGAAAATAAAGAGGCCGCTCTTTTAATGAAGGGTGAGGAGGAGTTGTGATTATTTAATTATTATTTTTATTCCTTGTTGGAGGAGTAAAAACGGTACCGCAAGGGAGCTCACCGGTACCGCGGAGAGTTAAAACGGTACCGCGGCACTGGAAACGGCACCGCTTGTCGAAAATAAAAAACAAGGGCCGCGCGTGTGGTTTTTTGTTGGAGAAGGAGTGTTGTTTTTAATTAATTAATATTTTTGTTCCTTGTTGGTGGAGAGTTAAAAACGGTACCGCGAGTAATCCCAACGGTGCCGTGGATAGGCAAACGACAGTGTTTAAAATAACAAACAATGTCGCAAAAAGGAAAAACAATCGGAGCTGTGGTGGCGCTAGCGATGTCGTTGGCCATAGCTAGTGATGGCCGGATTAATTAATTAATGTTTTAATGACTTTTTAGCCCGGTGGCGTTTAGTTGAAAACGATGCCGCAAGAGGAAGAAACGACACCGCGGGACAAGGAAATAGCGTTGTTTAACTGAGAACGACGCCGGGGTGAGAGTTTGACGGCGAGTTAACAATGAGGGCAAGTTTAATTAATTAGTATTTTATTATTCTTTTAGACGGTATCGTTTAATACGATGCCGCGGAGAAGTAAAACGACACCGTTTAAGGCATCAACAACGCCGTAGTATTACTAAGCGATGTCGTTTTGTTAAAAACCATACCACGATGGTTTGGATTTTGGCGAGTGGCCCGGCAAGCTCAACGACACCGCAAGACAAGAAAAACGGTACCGTTGGTAGAGAACAATGTCGTGGAATGAAAACGACATTGTTTGATGGGACCGGGGCGGAGCAGTTCAAGGTCGGCATCGATTAGTGAAAAACGATGTCGCGGAAAGATTAAACGATGTCGCAGGAGGTATCAACGACATCGCGGTATCATAAACGATATCGTTTGATTTAAAACGATATCGCAGTGGTTAAGAGCTCGGCCAAAGGTGGCCCGCCAAGCCCAACGACGGCGCAAGACTAGAGAACGACGTTGTTTGATGGACTAACAATATCGTTGGTTAAACCGGGTCGGGGCAGTTGAGTTGGATTATAAAACGGCAGCGGTTGGTGAAAGGCGATGTCGTGGTATTGGTGAAACGTCATCGTTACATGGACAAGGTTGTAAGTCGTTGCGCCAAGTTTCTGCAAAGCAAGAGCGGTTTCGAGGGCACGTGATTATCACGCAACAAGGAGGAAGTTACCTGCACGGTTGACAGGAATGAAGACGTGGGAGACAAAGGCGCCAAGGCAGTTACTACGACGGGGAGAAGTGCAAAGTATAAAGATTGGGAAGAGAGAGAAGCTCAGGACGGCAAAATCAAATCACAAACTGCACCGTCGCAGATTTTATCTTTTCTCTCTCTAGTTCGTAGAACCGCTCTGTC